GTTGTTCTGCAAGTTGGAAAAGGACAGAACTGATTTAACCGACCCTTATTTTATTTTTACTATGTCCTGCACGTTTCGCACATGCTCAGAACTTCTTGGCCGAAAACTCGAAATTTTAGTGCCGTCAGTCGCCGGTTAGCCAGTTGCAGCGCTACCTGCGTAACGCGGTGACAAGGACGAACATATGATTGCCACCTCTCTTATTTTACTTTCTCTATGCCGGTAACTAACGGTTCAGTCCATGCACAGAACATACCCCCTATATAGGGGGATATTTTGTGAGTCCATGATACAATGAATACAAGGTAGGATCTTGCGTCGATTTGCGTGACGTCAGTGGAAATCACTGCTGGGCGTGCTTTTTTCCTGTCTGCTAAATGTGATTAAATATAGCTTATTTAGTCTTTGTCACATTTAATTATTTTTTTATAAATCTTCCTTATAATTACAAGATGCTTTGCAGCAGACTTTAGACTTGAAAATTAAAAGTAACAAAAATTTATTTATTTTGTAGACTAGCACAGTTGCCAGTTATGCAATAAAGTATAGCGTTAGCTGAAAATGTATCCTTGCAGAAATAGTGCATTACGATTCAAGAGACGGAAGTCCAATGACTCCAACCCAAACAATGACTCAATGTTACTTTCCTATTATTTACGACGGAATCTGCGGTTTGTGGTGCCGCGGATGATATGTAAATTTTAATTCAAATAAAACGACTGCACACCGCATTTTTTGTATCTTTGAACCGACACTTAAAAGTAGCAAACAATCTAGAGTACACTTTCCACATACGAAACGCAAAATGCTCAGTTTTGTCTACAAAATTAAAAATACAAAATTTCCAAACATGCCCAAACGCATTGACCCCATGATGCAATGAATTCATTGTACGACAATGAATTCATTGTACGACAATAAATTCATTGTATGATACAATCATTTCATTGTATGAACAGTGCATTCATTCATTGTGATACAATTAATTCATTATTTCGTTTGGCTCAACCCGATTTCTTAAATGACACTCTGGCAACACAGCACGCTAAAACGCTGAAAATCAGAGATTTTGTAACGAATTATTTAGGGTATATATAGTCTCTTCCCAATAAGCCCAAATCAGGTCCCAAACGCGATTTTCAAAGCACTCAGCTATACAATGCTGCAAATCATATCTTCATATAACTTTCCATTTTTGAACTATTGCGTTTTGAATTCAGTGAAAATCTGTCTAGGTTACATGCATTTTAAATGGGATCAGCTGTTCACTTTACCAAAGTGGTAACCAGTGACGTCATGTGCGCACGACAATCGAGTTTTTGACCGATTAATATCCTACCTTGTATTCATTGTATCATGGGTTCAGTCGAACCATCGTTGAACTTGCTTTTGTGCAACCGGGCCTAAATGATCGATCGTTTTATTTTTAGTTCTTCGTATGGCAACGCTGGACTCGAGTAAAATAAGTGATCAAAATGGCGGTTCCTGTCGCCACTATACAGAGGCAAACAACGCAGTGTACTTTTCATTCATTGTTTACTTGTGAAGGGGAATTGATCGGAAAGGTTTGACCAAACATAGGAACTTGGCTTCTTATGTTTTGGCTCGTGTGATCTTAGTAGCTGGTTTTCTTTTGTGGAACCAATATCGCAAACATGTGCATTCTAGGTGAGTCCGGGTTTTACCATTATTACGATTTATATTTTTTAAGAACAGTCTTGTATTGTATATTGGTTCATTTGCCTTGGTTTTTAGATTTTTATACCGGTGATGGTGTCGTTTGAGGTTCTCGGAATTTCTAGTTTTGTCCATCCTTGCCTTAAAGATCACTTCAAATTAAGCACTCTCAGTAAAAATGTTTCCTGAAGGGTCCATAAATTAAGGCAAAAAACATTCACAAACTTTAAGGAAAATCGCCATTTTAAGGATAAATTTCACGCGGTGTTGCTAAACTGCACAAAATATTTTAAGTTAATGAAAACTGTTTCCTTGGATACCTATCATGTAGATTCATTCAATTTGGGTTAATTTCGGTTAGTTTGGGTTAGATAGAATTATATAGGCACTAGCTACCATGCTAACACAAACTGAATTAAGTGGTTCATTCATTTTGAAAGAATACTTTTTATTTATTGTTACACACAAACTGTTAATAAATGGGTGAAATACGTGGCAACACCGAATTGTGCTGAATTCTCCAAAGAAATATAAACAATAACGCTACATAACTTCAAGCAAAGGCGAGGCAGGAAAAGATGCTCAAACTTTTGCAAAAAACGGAATTATTATGCATCTTAGCGACAATTTTGCATGTGGAGTTATGAATTGTTGATACCTAAAACACGATTTAGCAGCAAATAGCACCGGACAATATCATTTTCGTGCGTAAATAAGTGGTTTTGGAAACTCAAATTTCAAAAGTTTGTGAGTGTTTTTTGGCTTAATTTATGGACCCTCCAAGAA